GGCACAGACATACAAAGGAACATTACTTAGTCATAAAAATAGTGAAATCTTGCCATTTTCAACAACATGGATAGAACAGACAGTATAATGCTAAGTGAAATAAGTCAGAGAAAGACAAATACCATATGATTTCACTCATGTGGAATTTAAGAACAAAACAAGCAAACAGAGAAAAATAAGAGACAAATCAAAAACAAGCTCTTAACTACAGAGAACAAACTGATGGTTACCAGAGGGAAAGGGGGGGGTGAACAATGGGTGAAACAGGTGAACGAGATTAACAGTAATCGCCTCATCACTTATTATGATGAGCACTGAGTATAGAATTGTTGTATTACTATATTGTACATCTGAAATTGATATAACACTGCATGTTAACTAAACTGGAAATAAAATTTAAAAATAAATTTAAAATAAAAGATAAATAAAAGTGACTGCCCAATCCCTTTAGTAATCCAAATAATTGACTTCTTAATTTACCGATTTGATAAATTGAGGTTTCTATACATTATTCTTTTCCCTTGCAAATAAAATAGACCTGTCCTTTGACAACTTCAGTCTTAATGCTTTCAAAATACTTCATAAACTAACCTTACTTAAAAAAATTTTTTTAATGTTTTATTTATTTTTCAGAGAAAGAGAGACAGAGTACAAGTTGGGGAGGGGCAAAGAGAGAGAGACACACACACACACACACTGAATCTGAAGAAGGCTTCAGCGTCTGAGCTGTCAGCTCAGAGCCTGACTCGGGGCTTGAACTTGTGAACTGCAAGATCATGACCTGAGTTGAAGTCAGATGCTTAACCAACTGAAGTGCCCGGGCGCCCCAAAACTGACCTTACTTTAAATGAGACTTCAAGGGGCGCCTAGGTGGCTCATTTGGTTAAGCATACGACTTCGCCTCAGGTCGTGATCTTGCGGTCCGTGGGTTTGAGCCCCACATCGGGCTCTGTGTTGACAGCTCAGAGCCCGGAGCCTGCTTCGGATTCTGTGTCTCCCTCTCTCTCTCTGCCGCTTCCCTGCTCATGCTCTGTCTCTCTCGGTCTCTCAGAAATAAATAAACATTAAAAAAAATGAGACTTCAAGAACTGTTTTATTATATGTACGAAAAAATCAATCCTGATATTTTCCTATATTATTTTACATCAGAGCAGATAATATCTGTATATAATTCTTTAAGTCTTTCTCTACATGGAGAAGCACTCTGTATGTTAGCATGAAACTAAAATAAATTTTATATGAATTTAACTCATTACTGAAAAGTACCCATCCTAAAGCTTTTATTAAAAATATGAAAACAATTCACACAGAATCTAAAACAATTTAATATCTTAGGTCATTTCAGATTCACCAACTATAGGGAACATTTTTATCCCAAAAGCCATAAAAGGAGATAAAAGAACATATGTATTATTCTGTCTGCCTAGAATGCCACACTGTTTCCAACCAGTAGGGTGGATACACAAGGAAGTCAAGCCTTCCTCTCATCAAAACATTTAGGTTACAGCAGCAGGAAGATGGATAGCACTATAACTGTGCTCAGCAGCAGGAAGACATTAGTTTGGTACATTCTTCACCTTGTGGAAGAAGCTACTTTGTAGGAAAATAAAGCAGACATAGCAGGAAATGCAGAGCAAAGGAGAAAGCTCTGCAGTGTTCATATTCTTTGTTCTAGTAATTCCTGAGACCCTGCTACATCTCCGCTCTTGCTGTATGTGATGTAAAGGTTAAATTTCCTGCCAAACCTTGTTTAAATGAGATGTTTGTGCTTGCACCAAGAGAGGTCCCTAGTACAAAGATATACCTAACATAAAAAGATCTACAATTCCTAGCATGGAATGTATGATCACTATAGAGTAAAACAATAATGGCATGAAGAGCAGGATCAAATCTTGCATAAAACACTGAAGCTACTTTGTTTCACTGAGAAAATGCCAAGATTAGACGTTTTCTTAGATATCAAGAATAGTATTTCAATGTGCATTAACATTAACAAAGGTACACTCTGTCGTTTCCACAGTTTCTTATAATTTACCTAGTTAAAGCACGTAATTCTGAAAATATGGCAGTAAATGACCTACAAAGGTCATCTAAGTCCACAATACCAGCAATTCTTTTATAAAAAATTTTTTTTATGTTTTATTTATTTCCAGGAGAGATAGAGAGAGAGACAGCCTGAGCAGGGGAGGGTCAGAGAGAGAGGGAGTCACAGACTGAAACAGGCTCCAGGCTCCGAGCCAGCAGTCAGCACAGAGCCCAACGAGGGGCTCGAAGCCACGAACCGCGAGATCATGACCTAAGCGAAAGTCGGACGCTTAACCGACTAAGCCACCCAGGCGCCCCAGCAATTCTTTTATAAACAGAAAAAGATAACGTGTAAAAACGGAATTAATTTTCTTATGTAGCAGAAACACTATTCACAGGATAAGGAATATCTTTCACTTTAAATTACTAATCTGAATGCAGACTCAGGCCAACAATAATTGAAAATGATGTGAGAAGAATTTTGACACTGCAGTAACATTAAAACATAAAAGAATAATTAAATTTAGGAATTATGGCTCAGTTCATAAACGGATCTTCTGAAGGATGATACTATATCAGACCATAATAGTAAACCTATTTTATAATAAATTTTATCCCTACTTGGATATGTACCTAAACCCTTCTTAGATAAGCATGAAGTCCAGAACACTTAAACTAAATTCTACAAACATATAGAGCAAAGAAGGTTAAACTATCCACAAATGATTAATCTTGAAATCAACTGTGCAAAAATGACATTACTACCTTGCTTGTAAAGCATTAACAGTTAACAAGATTTTATTAAATAACAGCATTTTCTTCAGTTTAATTCTGCTATCTTCTCATCTAGAATGACTAGGCAAAATATGACCTAGTCATAAGGTAGTTTTGCTTTGCATACATGGTATTTACTGCATGATGATTTACTACATTCTAGAGTTAATCATAATATTCATCAACTAAAGATGTACTCAGGACCTTCTGAGTATTTATGGCACATTAACCTCTTTCACAATTACTATTACCATTAAAGGAGTGGAAGTCTTAAAGTTTAAAAATGACAGGAAATAAGAATAAGTGAGAAATAAAGATTTCTAGGGATTGAGTCTGACAATATGTTAAGATGATTCCATAATTCAAATTAATGGGAGAACTGACTAAAGCAAAAGAATAGAGGCTATGACTACAGATAACAGCATAAAAATGTTCTTTTCATAAGAAAAAGACTTTTGAGAAAAATACAATTATATTCCACTCACTTGATATGAGTTACTTTCAAATTATCATTAATATGGGAATTTTTTTTTATTGTAACCACCTCATACACATTTAGGGGGAAAATCCAAGTAAAAACATGTAAGTTTACAGAGGGAAACAGAAATTAGATGTGGAATCAGAAATCTGGACACCATTCAGAGAAAAATCATTCATTCAACTAACATTTACTGAATATGCCCTAAGTGTCAGACCTTATGCAAGAAAGGAAGGATGCAACAAGGAACAATTCAGGCAAAAACTCCTCTCACCTCATGATGCTTACATTCTAATGGCTATTAAAAATAGCTATTAGGAAATATATCTTTTTTTTAATTTTTTTTAAATATTTTTATTTATTTCTAGGAGAGAGAGAGAGACAGCGTGAGCAGGGGAGGGTCAGAGAGAGAGGGAGACACAGACTCCGAAATAGGCTCCAGGCTCTGAGCTGGCAGTCAGCACAGAGCCCGACGTGGGGCTCGAACCCACGAGCCGCGAGATCATGACCTAAGCGAAAGTCGGACGCTTAACCGACTAAGCCACCCAGGCGCCCCAGCAAATATATCTTTAAAAAAAAGAAAATTAAGTCCCAAAGTAATGCAGTACCTTGCCATTTCCCAAGGACATAGCTATTTAACAAAAATTCAGGCTACAGTTTTCATCACTTGGGCCTATTCCAGAGACTTTTCAATATATGATAGAGTCAATGAGACAGGAAAAACCTTCAGTGAAAAACCTAAATAATAAAGAAAATCTATGTTAATGTCGACTTACTGGATTAGAGAACTGTCAAACAAAACGGAAGGAATTTAATCGAAACACAGACTACACCAAATTTTAGAAAATACTTATGCTAAAGGCACTCTGCATTAGACTTCAAAGATGCACTTAATGAGCTAATAGATACTTTATCTTCTCTAATATCTGAAATTCCCGGAATACTTTTATTCAGAGGCCTATTTAATATGAACTAGTGGTTACAGTTCATATCCTAGCACAAAAAACTCTCAACATAATACCACCATGTCAATTTGTATTTTTTGCCTGACTCTAAAGAAAGGCTACTAATGACATTAGCTAATAGGCTTAACTACATTATCTCCAGTAGGTAAAGGAAAATGGTTAAGGTGCTTAGGAGTCTGCACACAAAGGCAGTGTTAAGGTAACATGCTTTCAATATTCTGTTTGTCACAAGGAAATCGAACAGTAGCTTGCCATCTATTTTGGAAGTTTCTATGCTATCAAACAGTTTGAAATAATTAGTAGAGTAGTTTTATGTAGAAAATTAATGTCATGGGCCACCTGGGTGGCTCAGTCGGTTAAGAGTCCGACTTCGGCTCAGGTCATGATCTCACGGTTAGTGGGTTCAACCCCAGCATCGGACTCTGTGCTGATGGCTAGCTCAGACCCTGGAGACTGTTTCAGATTCTGTGTCTCCCTTTCTCTCTGACCCTCCCCTGTTCATGGTCTCTCTCTCTCTCTCTCTCAGAAATAAATAAAACATTTAAAAAAATTAAAAAAAAAATTAATGTCAGATTTCAAAGGTGAAAACAAAAATGTAGAAGAGAAAGGTGATTTGAAAATTCACTCCACATGATTATGAAAAAATTCTTTCAAGTCTACAAATGACTGCTGTTATTTCTGGATCATAATCATAATGATTTCTTCACTTTACTGAAACAATTGAAAGATAAAAATTAAGAAAAGGACTAGATACTTACACCACTGGAAAGGAACTGAGCATACTTTACATGAGGTGAATCAATATCCTTTCTAGAGATGATCAGCGTTATTTATCATTCTGTAGAATAAAGACAGAAAATTCAGAAATACTTGGTAATCAAATGTTGAATAAAGAGTTTAATTATAGAACATAAAGATATTGACAATCAACATCAGGTAACCATGTTTAAAAAATTATTTTGTAATTTAAGTGAAACCTTGGTTTGAAGCAAAATTTAAAAAATAAAAAAATATTACTGATAGCCTTCAAAATTATTACCTTGGAAAAAGTAATGTAAATCATACCCCTGAAATTTAATCTGTTATCAGACACCACCCAGGGGAAAAGATTTAAACTTGTGATGGAACATATATATTATTGTGACGTTCAAGACTTTTTTAAAGACATGTTTACTTATTTATTTTTGAGAGAGAGGGAGCATGTGCACAAGCAGGCAAGAGGCAGAGAGACACAGAATGTAAAGCAAGCTCCAGGCTCTGAGCTATCAGTGCAGAGCCCGACGTGGGCCTTAAACCCACAAACCCTAAGATTATGACCTGAGCTGAAGTCAGATACTGAACCAACTGAGCCATCCAGGCACCCACCCCTCAAGACAACTTTTTGATTTAATAGTATCAGTGCATTCATGTAGAATCCTATAAGCAAAAAAACCCACCAAAGCATGATTGCAGCTAAAGGTTTTAACTCTGGAATAAATTCTGGGGTCTACTTCCATGTATTTTACTGCTAGCCAAATTTTGAGTGACTTAATTTCTCTATGTCTCAATGTCTGCATCCATTAAACAGGGATGATTGATAAGTACCTTGAAGAGCTATAAGAAGTTAAAACTTTTTTTTTTTAATGATGGTCATGAGGCACTTCACAAATTCTCAAGTCACAGGGACTATTATTACCAATTTAAAAAGAAGACTAACACCCATGTTGCTTTAGATTACTGAACACAATGTAAATTAATAGTAGAGTGAGTCTAGTACTTCTGATTAGCATTCTACTGCTTTATTCACCATTCAGACCCTTTGACCCCTTTCAATTTAGACAGATTTTTAACAAAAAATAGTTTTAACAAAAAACTATTCACAGTTTAGAAACTAAAGATCATATATTACTGACTGGACTTATCAGCAGTTCAAACCACAATCTAAAGAGGCAACAATTTCCATTAACTTAAAGTTAAGATTATAAATTATAAGAAAGTTAAAAATGTTGATGTCAAAACTCTCACACTAAAATACACACTCAGCAATGAATTATATTAAGCAAGACCTAAGCAATGTCTAACAGTGACTAATGATATATGCGAAATGTACAGGGTAAAGTTAGAAACCTTTCACATTTGCATATCCTAAATTGTAGCCCTAATGAAGTTCCTGTTGTAGTTAATTTTCTTGCTGACTTAAGAAATACCTGTCCTAAAAAAATAAAGGTACAAAGAAAATCTACTGAAAATGTTGCTGATTGCAAAAATATCAAAACTAAGCCACAAAACTGATTACTGGTCAATATACATTTTTCATTCTTGCTCAAATCCAGTTAAAATATATTAAATACCGAGGCAACTGGGTTGCTCAGTGGGTTAAGTGTCCAACTTCAGCTCAGGTCATGATCTCAAGGCTCGTGAGTTCGAGACCCATATTGGGCTCTGTGCTGACAGCTCAGAGCCTAGAGCCTAGAGCCTAGAGCCTGGAGCCTGGTTCCGATTCTGTGTCTTTCTCTCTCTCTGCCCCTCCCCTGCTCGTACTCAAGATCTCTCTCTCTAAAATAAATAAACACTAAAAAAATATACTAAATTATCTACTTGCCCTGAGACAGGCACAAAATCATAAGAGTACAATAAGATCCCAGCAGTGCAGGAGCATATTAAACTATAGGAGAAGGTCAAATAAAAATCTCACACACACGCACACCTCTATAATAAAATGCATAATGTGATAAGACTAAAAATACAAGGTTTATGAGAGTAACAATTTAGAGATTAATTTAGGCTACAGAGAAATGGGAAGACTTCTTAAAGTGAGATCTCAGCTGTTAGCTGAAGATTAGAATAAGACTTTCACCAAACCAAAGTGTGAAGAGAAATGTGAAAATCCATGGAGGAAAGATTCTGGGGAGAACAAACAGTTAAAGGAGACTATGAGGTATGTTTAGGGATTAAATAGATCTTTGTTGCCAGCCTTTTACATGTACACATGAGGAATATATAGACTAGAAAGGCAAGCCTTCCACAATCTATAGAGGGCTGGTAAATGCCTCACAGCAATCCTGACCTTTAATTTGCAAGTATGAGGACCATGGCACAAGTGAATCAGATAATCTCAGAAGTCAACATCAAAGACTGTCATTTCACAGGTGAGGAAACTGAGATAAAGTTACTGATACAGCCTTGTGTAACTGCAAATTACTGAGTTTATGTCACTCATAGAGTAAGTGGGCTTAAAATATTCGGTAGAACTAAAATATTCTAGAGGAAACTAGGTGGCTCAATCAGTTAAGTGTCTGGCTCTTGGTTTCAGCTCAGATCATGATCTCATGATTCATGGGTTCAAGCCCTGTGTCAGGCTCCACACTGACAGTGCAGAGCCTCCTTGGGGTTCTCTCCCTCTCTCCGCCCTTCCCCTGCTTGCATGCTAAGTTAAAATAATAATAATAATAATAATAATAAATAAAGAACTAAAATATTCTAAGGACAAATGAGCAAGCAAATAGGTGCTATGAGTTCTCTACTCTCAAGCTCAATGTCACAAAGCCCTCTCTGCATAGGAGACAGATTTTTTTACACCTTGTTTTACAAATGAGTTTAATAATTAAATAAAGATGTGTATTATGATCATAGCCATTAGAAAGGCCATTTAAAAATAAAAAAACAGAAAATAACAAGTACTGACAAAGATGTGGAGAAAATGAAACCCTCTTATGCTGCTGGTGAGAATGTAAAAATGGTGCAGCCACTATGGAAAACAGCATGGACGTTCCTCAAAAAAATTAAAAATTGAAATACTTTATGATTTAGTAATTCTACTAATGGGAACTTGCGCAAAGGAAATAAAATACACTAAATCAAAAATATATATGTACCCCTATGTTTATTACAGCATCATTTATAATAAAATATGGAAGCAATCTAAGTGTCCATTGATAAATGAATGGGTGAAGAAGATGTGGCATATATATATATATATATACACACATTGCAGTATTACTCAGCCATAAAAAAGAATGGAATCTTGCCATCTGAGAAAACATGGATCGACCCAGAGAGTCAGACATGAGACAGAGTGAAAAAGACAACTATGATTTCACTCATGTGTGGAATCTAAAAAGAAAAAGCTGAATCAGACCTATAAATAACAGAAAACAAACTTACGGTTGTCAGAGGGAAGGGAGGTGGAGGGATAAGCAAAATGGGTAAAGGAGAGTGGGATACAAGCTTCTTCTTATGCAATGAATAACTCATGGGAATAAAAGGTACAGCATATGGATCAGAGTCAAGGATATTGCAAAAGCACTGTCTGGCGACAGGTGGTAGCTACACATGTAGTAAACATAGCATAACATTTGGAGATGCTGAATCACTATGCTGTATACCTGAAATTAATGTAACATTGTGTATCAACTACACTCAAAAAAACTTAAAAAAATTTTTAAAGGTTTTATTTATTTCTGACAGAGAGAGACAGCGTGAGCAGGAGAGGGTCAGAGAGAGAGGAAGACACAGAATCCAAAACAGGCTCCAGGCTCTGAGCTGGCTGTCAGCACAGAGCCCGACGTGGGGCTCGAACCCACAAACCATGAGATCAAGACCTGAGCCAAAGTACGATGCCAAACAGACTGAGCCACCCAGGTGCCCAAAAAGCTTTTAAAAAATGTTAAGAAATCAGAGTTTAAGAAGGTTTTAAGGGTAAAAGCTCATGATACTGGATCATATTCAGCTCTAAAAAGCAAGTAACCTAGGGGCACCTGGGTGGCTCAGTCAGTTGAGCATCTAGCTCTTGATTTCAGCTCAGGTCATGATCCCAGTGTGGTTGGTACGAGCCCTGGGTCAGGTTTAGCATAGAGCCTGCTTAAGATTCTCTATTTTCCTTTGTCCCTGTCCCCTGTGTACGTTCTGTCTCTCTCTAAAAAAATATAAAAATAAAATACATAAAATAAAAAGCAAGTAACCTGTAAAGTTAAAGAATCAGCTCCTCATTGGACTCTTAATCTTTTGTACTTTAAAAAGAGACAGAGAGAGTGTGTGAAGAATATTCTCAGATGGCAGAGATAAAAGAATTCTGTACCAACATTTTGGTACATGAAAAAAATTTTAACTAAGCAAAAATTCAGAGAGTGTATTTTTTAGGCATCTCTACTAAGAAAAATAATTAAGAAAAGGTTCTAACTAAGAAAAAATAAACCAGAATAAGAGATGTGGTAACAGGGAAGATAAAGAGAAAGGATAATATTGTAAGCAATGACACTTCCAGTTTATATTATATAATACAAATTTAAATAATAACCAAATGTCTAGGAATGTATAACTTGTATGATAAAGACTCCTAAAACAAAAGACTATATCATAAAATAAATTTAATAGCTTTCTAAAATACACAGAGTAAAATAGTTGTAGACAGGTGAGATAAAGGTAGGCAGGAGTAAAAATACTTCCAAGATACCACAAGGAAGAAGAGGATAAAGGGAAAAAGCAAGAGGGGCAGAAAATAAAAGTACCCTAAAAGTCTCATCTCTTCAAGGTCAAGGAGCCACAAAGGAAAGCAGGTAACTGAAGAGAAACATGTTATCAGTCAAAGTATACTTTTAAGGTCAAAAGCACCTATCAGTATAAAGAGAGAGATTATATAATTATAAAATATACAGTTTATGATTAAAATACAAGAGTTACAAACCTGTATATACAAAATAACACAGCAGGTAAGAAGGCAAAATTTATTAGAACTTTAATAAATCATTTTTAAAAACAGAAATATAGAGTAATTTCAGTATACTTTTTAAATGGACAAATACAGTTAGAAAGAATAGAAATTTAATTATATTAATTAACATGATTTTTAAAAGCTACCTT